CTGCCAGTCCACCATACAGCAGGGAAAGTTACACTTAACACTATCTTCACTGATAACTTCACTACAACACTGTCCACACACCTGTCAGTCCACCATACAGCAGGGAATCAACACACTGTACGTGTTTGTGTCTCTCCAAGAAAGTACCAATTGTACTTGGTACAATAGTACCAAGAAAGTACCAAAAGAAAGTAAATAATCACTTAAAGTTCTACACTGACACAACCCATTGTACTTTCTCTTATATAAATAAATCTGCTGCCCGTTCTCATCATTTTTCACTCGTAAAAATGTTCAATAGTTTTGTTGATACGTTTACGGCGACCAGCCAGGATACGACGGCTCAAGGCTCCACATACCAGTGATTGCACCATCACACGGCCTTGTATACTCACACTCGGCCTTGTATACTTATCACAAGGAGTTATTATTATTATTATTTCGCCTGGGAATATTACCCCTATTTACCATTACGTGTAATATCAAACGGTAGAGAATGTACACACAGGGCCAGAGCATATTAGTGTAAGTATGAGTACACACGCCCGCTGGCTGGGAGGTCCGGGGGAACACCACCTCTACTGACACTCCCTCTGTGGGACCCCTGCTTGGTCCCGCGCCTATAGTGCACATGCGTCACTTCTCGTCTCGTCTCAGCAGTTTGTGCTTGCGGGGGTTGAGCTTCAGCTCTTTGGTCCCGCCTCTCAAGTGTCAATCTACTGGTGTACAGATTCTTGATTCTTCGGCTCTATCAAATCTACATATGAAACTGTGTATGGAGTCAGCCTCCATAACATCACTGTCTAATGCATTCCATCTGTTAACTACTCTGACACTGAAAAAGTATTTCTAATGTCTATGTGGCTCATTTGGGTATTAAGTTTCTACCTGTGTCCCCTTGTTCATGTTCCACACGTGCTAATTAGTTGGACCTTGTCCCACCCTGTCAGTTCCTGAAAATTTTGTAGGTGGTGATCATGTCTCCCCTTACTCTTCCGTCATCCAGGGACGTGAGGTGTAGCTCCTGTAGCCTTTCCTCGTAGCTCATATCTCAGTTCTTGGACTAGTCTGGTAACATACCTTGAGGTTACCTTGAGGTGCTTCCTGGGCTTAGCGTCCCCGAGGCCCGGTCGTCGACCAGGCCTCCTGGTTGCTGGACTGATCAACCAGGCTGTTGGACACGGCTGCTCGCAGCCTGACGTATGAGTCACAGCCTGGTTGCCACTAATATGCACACCGTTTCATACAAGATGTGGGAAAAACACTTAAAAACTAAGACATTTGTTTCTAGTGTGGTGCCCCCAAGAGTTCTGTTACAACCCTTTAGGAAGCGTTTAAGGTCAGGATTGGCATTACAGTTCAGAGTTTAATATATATAGAGTACACATGATATAATATCTAACAAATTAAAAAATTTAAATAAATGTCCGAGTGCTGTCTAGAGCCAGAGTTTGTTATTGTTCTAATAGCTAATTTTTATGGAGTAATTAGAGGACGAAGATAATTTTGGGTAATAGAACCCCAAGCACATACACCATAGTTGAGATAAGGATAGATGAGAGAGTAATAGAGCGTTACAAGCAAGGCCGAGGTACATAATATCTGATTTTAGAAAGAATGCCAACTGTTTTAGAAACTTTTTTCGTTATATTTTGAATGTGGTCCTGGAAAAAAATCAGCTTGTTATCAATGAGAACACCAACAAGTGTAATTTCCAGGGTGGTGGTCACCCGGTGATGTTTGGTGAGATGTGGAGCTGCTTGTCGGCCCACCCACTTTAAGGCCCACTATAACTATACAGAATAAGGCCATTGCTACCCTGATTAATCTCTGTACTATCCTAGGAGCCATGATTAAGCTATGTACTATCCTAGGAGCCAAGATTAAGCTCTGTACTATCCTAAGAGCCGTGATTAAGCTCTGTACTATCCTAGGAGCCGTGAATAAGCTCTGTACTATCCTAAGAGCCGTGATTAAGCTCTGTACTATCCTAGGAGCCGTGAATAAGCTCTGTACTATATTAAGAGCCGTGATTAAGCTCTGTACTATCCTAAGAGCCGTGATTAAGCTCTGTACTATCCTAAGAGCCGTGATTAAGCTCTGTACTATCCTAAGAGCCGTGATTAAGCTCTGTACTATCCTAAGAACCGTGATTAAGAAGTCAGTGTTTACCATGCGGGTTGAGTGTACCGGGGGAGGGGGACAACACCTGTGTGTTCGTACAGTTGTGTACACGTCTGTGTGTGTGTGTGTCAGCACGGGTGACAAGTGTACCGGGGTGTGTGTGTGTCAGCACGGGTGACAGGTGTAGCGGTGTGTGTGTGTCAGCACGGGTGACAGGTGTACCGGGGTGTGTGTGTGTCAGTACGGGAGACAGGTGTACCGGGGTGTGTGTGTGTGTGTCAGCACGGGTGACAAGTGTACCGGGGTGTGTGTGTGTCAGCACGGGTGACAGGTGTAGCGGTGTGTGTGTGTCAGCACGGGAGACAGGTGTACCGGGGTGTGTGTGTATGTGTCAGCACGGGTGACAGGTGTACCGGTGTGTGTGTGTGTCAGCACGGGAGACCAGTGTACCGGGGTGTGTGTGTGTCAGCACAGGTGACAGGTGTACCGGGGTGTGCGTGTCAGCACGGGTGACAGGTGTACCAGGGTGTGTGTGTGTCAGCACGGGTGACAGGTGTACAGGGGTGTGTGTGTGTCAGCACGGGTGACAGGTGTACAGGTGTGTGTGTGTGTGTCAGCACAGGTGACAGGTGTACCAGGGTGTGTGTGTGTGTCAGCACGGGTGACAGGTGTACAGGGGTGTGTGTGTGTCAGCACGGGTGACAGGTGTACAGGTGTGTGTGTGTGTGTCAGCACGGGTGACAGGTGTACCGGTGTGTGTGTGTCAGCACGGGTGACAGGTGTACCAGGGTGTGTGTGTGTCAGCACGGGTGACAGGTGTACCAGGGTGTGTGTGTGTCAGCACGGGTGACAGGTGGACAGGGGTGTGTGTGTGTCAGCACGGGTGACAGGTGTACAGGGGTGTGTGTGTGTGTCAGCACGGGAGACAAGTGTACCGGGGTGTGTGTGTGTCAGCACAGGTGACAGGTGTACCAGGGTGTGTGTGTGTGTCAGCACGGGTGACAGGTGTACAGGGGTGTGTGTGTGTCAGCACGGGTGACAGGTGTACAGGTGTGTGTGTGTGTGTCAGCACAGGTGACAGGTGTACCAGGGTGTGTGTGTGTGTCAGCACGGGTGACAGGTGTACAGGGGTGTGTGTGTGTCAGCACGGGTGACAGGTGTACAGGTGTGTGTGTGTGTTAGCACGGGTGACAGGTGTACCGGGGTGTGTGTGTCAGCACGGGTGACAAGTGTACCAGGGTGTGTGTGTGTGTGTCAGCACGGGTTGTAACACCGCTCTTTTGTACCACCACTCTAAAATGTACCACCACTATAATGCATCACTATAATGGAACACCACTATAATGGAACACTAAACTAATAATGTAAACACTACTTATCCTGAGTAACACTTCCCCATTGGTTGCACTTGGTAACACTGTTATGGGCTGACATATGATGGTTACACCGGGACTACAAAGTACACTGCCAACAAGGAGATGCTAACACGGGATGAAATACGCTGCCACCATCTGCCTTTGACCATTGAGATTATATCAAGCAACGAGGCAAGAAACATTGCTTGACTTGGAGAGTACTTTCTATGACTGTCATTAATTATGGAAACGGTTGTCAGCCACTATATCCAAAAGGCTAAGAGGATTCAACAATTGACACAGACGGGAAAATTAACATGAGTTTTATTGAGACCAAAATTATGTCAATCACCACTTATAAATCCTACTCTAACACTGGCAAAAATTTAAGTAATTTGGACATGGAACAAAACCTCAGAGATCACACACGTTACCTTAAGACCTCTGTCTCTCCCTGGCTGAGATGTTCTTCACAGCCCTCTCTGGACCCCGGTGTCCGGCACTCTGTCCTTACTAAGTCCCTACAGGACATCTATATACAACCCCCACAGGGGGAGGGGGGAGATCTGCTGTTGCTTCCCAGGTCTGAAATGCTAGGGGGGTCGGGCCACACGTGCACAAACACTTTAAACAATATTTCAATATGCTTGTTTGACATTCACCATACACTCTTCAAGAGAGGAGTTGTTAATTACATGTGTGACTGACCTCTGACCTGGCCAAAAGGGGGAGATCCAAGGATGTTTACACATAAGAATCTGGAGTCTAATTCCCTTGCCTAAAATATTACATACTTGAAACTATGCTGACTAAGACTAACCCAGGAATTTTTAATCAATATACAAGATAAACCGGAGGTCATCTGGGCTGACCTCATGAAAAAGGCTTCCCTGGGTGTGAACTCTAAGGGGGAGGGGAAGTCCTGGGTGTTACAGGGTGACAGGTGTACCGGTGTGTGTGTGTGTGTGTCAGCACGGGTGACAGGTGTACCGGGATGTGTGTGTGTGTCAGCATGGGTGACAAGTGCACCGGGGTGTGTGTGCGTCAGCACGGGTGACAGGTGTACCGGGGTGTGTGTGTGTGTCAGCACGGGTGACAGGTGTACCGGGGTGTGTGTGTCAGCACAGGTGACAGGTGTACCGGTGTGTGTCTGTGTGTGTCAGCACGGGTGACAGGTGTACCAGGGTGTGTGTGCGTCAGCATGGGTGACAGGTGTACCGGTGTGTGTCAGCACGGGTGACAGGTGTACCGGGGTGTGTGTCAGCACGGGTGACAGGTGTACCGGGGTGTATGTGGGTGTGTGTCAGCACGGGTGACAGGTGTACCAGGGTGTGTGTGTGTGTGTCCACACGGGTGACAGGTGTACCAGGGTGTGTGTGTGTCAGCACGGGTGACAGGTGTACCGGGGTGTGTGTGTCAGTACGGGAGACAGGTGTACCGGTGTGTGTGTGTGTGTCAGCACGGGAGACAGGTGTACCGGGGTGTGGTGTGTGTGTGTCAATACGGGAGACAGGTGTACCGGGGTGTGTGTGTGTGTGTCTGCACGGGAGACAGGTGTACCGGGGTGTGTGTGTGTGTGTCTGCACGGGAGACAGGTGTACCGGGGTGTGTGTGTGTGTGTCAGCACGGGAGACAGGTGTACCGGTGTGTGTGTGTGTGTGTGTCAGTACGGGAGACAGGTGTACCGGGGTGTGTGTCAGCACGGGTGACAGG